TCCAGCTGCATTGTGCCCCAAAGCCGCCGGGAAAGCGGAGTGGTGGAGCGGATGAATCGAGTCAGAGAGAGAAGCAAGCGACAAACTGTAAGCCAGCGTTCGAGATTTTAAGCGGTGGTATTTAAAAGAAAGCCTCACCCCCCCCAAGAAGCGAAAGGGAGGAGGGACTACCACCTCTGTATTAAAAAGAGACTTTTAAAACAAAGAGGGGGGGGAAGCGAAAAAACGCACGAACGGTTTACCTTGCTGGGAGGGAGAAATAAGCGGAGAGGAGGGAAGCTTCCTTGAAGGCTGCAGCACGAACTTTCTAGGTGTAAACAAAACTGAAGCATGGCGGGGACTAAAAAAGTACAAGAAAAGCTGGTGAAGAAGACGGGAGGGACTTCCTGCCCAAGCCCTTCCCTTGCTGGATCTGCTGTCAATCAGATCAGCCGAAGAAGTACAAGAAGTTAAGAAGAAGGTCAATAAAGTTGAAAAATATCAGGAAAAACAAGACAAGAAATTATTAATGCTTCAAATGGAAAAAGCAAATGTAACCCTCCGGTTCCAGGGACTGAAAGAAGAAACTGGAGAGGATCTAAGAGACATATTGGCGACAGCTTTGGCTCCACTAACTGGCAACGAAGCGGAAAAAATAAAAGAAGAAATGGATTTGGCCTATAGGGCCTATTCCAATTATACAAGAAAAAACAAGTTGCCAGCAGAAGTGGTTGTAAAATTTACAAAGCAACGTCTCAGAGATCAGATACTAAAGGTGACATCAGCAACGCCCCTGAAAATCGGAGATCAGCCGATAAGAATTTTAAAAGATGTTCCATTTGAAATAAGAATGAAAAGAAAAGAATATAAAGGACTGACCAGATTTCTACAAAACCATCAAACAAATTACAAATGGCTGGTGCCCGAAGGACTGACTTTCAAGTTCAAAGAAAAGAGAGAAAAGATTGATTCTATCTTTAAGGCTCAAGACTTCTTAGAAAGGCACGCCAGTAAAGAAGAAGAGGCAGAACTGGCCAAGTGGATGACAGGACTGAACGTGGAAGACAGCAGCTCGGAGGGAGAGGTGAAGGACGAGGAACCCAAAGGAGCGACTGCTCTGAAGTATAACTTGAGAGATAAGAAAGGAAAGGACCCCAGATTCTAGAGACTTTTCGATTTTTGGATTACACTCTGAAAAAGAAATTAACTCCCAGAAGGACAATACTAACATATTAATTGCCTTGTTAACAGAGATGGAGGAAGAAAAGAACGCCGGACTACAGAAGCAGTGATTGACTCTAATTCTTAATATGAAAAGATTAATGTACTAATATACTAACACCACTCACCCTTTTCTTTATCCATCTATATACCCACCCTTTTTCCTGACTTTAAGCGAAATATCTCTCCTTTTTAGGAGAGGGAATAAAGCTATTAAATTAAATGTTATGTTAACTATGCTGACGTATCGATTTGTGAATCGCAATATATTTTTTTTTAAGTATGTTCTGACTCTGAGTTATTTACCTGACCTTCTCTGGATGGCCCAGGATGGCCAGTTCTCATCAGAGCTTGGCAAGCTAAGCAGGGTCGGTCCTCGATAGTACTTAGAGGGGAGACTACCAAGGAAGTCCAGGGCTGCTATGCAGAGGCAGGCAAACCACCTCTGAACGTCTCTTGCCTTGAAAACCCTACAGGATCGGTGCAAGTCAGCTGTGACCTGACAGCACACGATTATGATGCCCTGGCCTGGATAAAAAAATCTGCCAATGACCCCCTAATAAAGGGCAGGCTAATATTTCCTTACCTGGATAGCCCAGTCTAGCCTGACTTTGTCAGGTCTCAAAAGCTAAGCTGGGTTGGCCCCGGTTTGTACTTGGATGGGAGACCACCAGGTCCAGGGTTGTGAGACACTAGATAAATGACATTTGTGACACAGAGGCAGGCAATGGCAAACCACCTCTGACCATCTCTTGACTCGAACTGTCTACAGGGGTCACCATAATCATAGAGTTGGAAGGGGCCAGACAGGCCATCTAGCCATCCGACTCCCCTGCTTAGTGGAGGATCAGCTTAGAGCATCCCTGACGAGGGTTTGTCCCGCGGCTGCTTGAAGAAAGCCAGGGAGGGGGAACTCTGCACCACCTGAGGGAGCCACTTGAGGGCACTTTCCACCTGTCCTGAGTCCTGACCTGGATGGGCCAGTCTGGTTCAATCTCATTAGATCTTGGAAGCTAAAGCAGGGTCGGCCCTGGATGGGAGACCACCAAGGAAGCCCACGGTTGCTGTGCAGAGGCAGGCAATGGCGAACCACCTCTGAACATCTCTTGCCTTGAAAACCTGAATGGGCCAGTCTGGTTCAATCTCATTAGATCTTGGAAGCTAAGCAGGGTCGCCCCTGGTTAGTACTTGGATGGGAGGACACCAAGGAAGCCCAGGGTTGCTGTGCAGAGGCAGGCAACGGCAAACTGCCTCTGAACATCTCTTGCCTTGAAAACCTGGATGGGCCAGTCTGGTTCAATCTCATTAGATCTTGGAAGCTAAGCAGGGTCGCCCCTGGTTAGTACTTGGATGGGAGGCCACCAAGGAAGCCCAGGGTTGCTGTGCAGAGGCAGGCAATGGCGAACCACCTCTGAACATCTCTTGCCTTGAAAACCTGGATGGGCCAGTCTGGTTCAATCTCATTAGATCTTGGAAGCTAAGCAGGGTCGCCCCTGGTTAGTACTTGGATGGGAGGACACCAAGGAAGCCCAGGGTTGCTGTGCAGAGGCAGGCAATGGCGAACCACCTCTGAACATCTCTTGCCTTGAAAACCTGGATGGGCCAGTCTGGTTCAATCTCATTAGATCTTGGAAGCTAAAGCAGGGTCGGCCCTGGATGGGAGACCACCAAGGAAGCCCACGGTTGCTGTGCAGAGGCAGGCAATGGCGAACCACCTCTGAACATCTCTTGCTGTGAAAACCCTACAGGGCACGATAAACTGGCTGAGACGTGATGGCCTTTTCCTTCCCCCCCCCCCACAAGTCATTTACGTAATCCTAGTCCGAATGCATTGCTCATCGGCTGCTGTATGCTGCCTTCCTGGTTTATAGCATGTCATCTGTCTTGAGTCCCAGGTCGGATCTGCATTTGCGTTTTTAAATCAGCTTCCTGCTGCTGTGACGCCCGTCTTTCTCTATGCTCCTTTGAATGTGGTTCGGAGGAGATTCTTTTAAAGCAGCGCGGCGGTGCAATGACAGTGGAGCCGCCCCGAAAGGACGATAAACATATGCGGACGTGCAAAAGTATGCCAGCACTCTTGAGGTGTGAAAACGACACCAAATGCAGACAGCTTTTTTTGAAGAAGGAGTCAAAAGGCTGGGACACCGGTGGGAAAGACAAATGCCGATTCGGGCAGTTTAAAAGAAGAGGAGAAGAAGAGATTGGATTTATACCCCACCCTTATAGTCTCAGAGCGGGTATAAATGAGGTGAAATAATAATCGTACCGGCTGTCAGTCTTGGGGTGCCTTACCTTCACGAAGATTTCCACCTCCGCAGGGCTGAGGGAAGTGAAGTTCTGCAGGAAATCCTCCTTCATCCTCACCACGGCGGCTTGCTGCCTCCTCTCTTCATCCCCTTCCAGGATTTGAAAGATACCAGCGCCCACCAGGAGGTAAGTGAGATAGCCGACGATTAGCAGGCAGATCTGCAGCTTGCTGTGGATCATGATGGTCTGCATGGGAACGGGAGCAAAAAGAAGAAGCGGGTACGAATTCAGGTCGGTAAACAAGCCCTTATTTGTATTTCCCCTGGATGTCAAACACTAGAGAGGGAAGTCCTAGTTGGACGGCTTCCATTTCCTCTGGGAACTGAATCCCGACACATCCGCCCCCTCTTCCAATGTACTTGTAAGGGAGAATAAATCATAAAGCAGCGCAGGGATTTCCCACTTAACAAGAACAGACCTTCTCAGGAAAGTTGGTCAGAGTGTCAGAGACACCAGGCCAAAACACCTTTTTTTGTTGTTGTTGGTACGGATCTTCTTACGTTCTTAACAGTGCCGCGTTCCCTACCCTGCCATTTCTTACTGGTCTGGATGGGCCAGTCTGGTTCAATCTCATTAGATCTTGGAAGCTAAAGCAGGGTCGGCCCTGGATGGGAGACCACCAAGGAAGCCCACGGTTGCTGTGCAGAGGCAGGCAATGGCGAACCACCTCTGAACATCTCTTGCCTTGAAAACCTGAATGTGCCAGTCTGGTTCAATCTCATTAGATCTTGGAAGCTAAAGCAGGGTCGGCCCTGGCCTCTGAACATCTCTTGCCTTGAAAACCTGAATGGGCCAGTCTGGTTCAATCTCATTAGATCTTGGAAGCTAAAGCAGGGTCGGCCCTGGTTAGTACTTGGATGGGAGACCACCAAGGAAGCCCACGGTTGCTGTGCAGAGGCAGGCAATGGCAAACCACTTCTGAACGTCTCTTGCTGTGAAAACCCTACAGGGCACGATAAACTGGCTGAGACGTGATGGCCTTTTCCTTCCCCCCCCCCCACAAGTCATTTACGTAATCCTAGTCCGAATGCATTGCTCATCGGCTGCTGTATGCTGCCTTCCTGGTTTATAGCATGTCATCTGTCTTGAGTCCCAGGTCGGATCTGCATTTGCGTTTTTAAATCAGCTTCCTGCTGCTGTGACGCCCGTCTTTCTCTATGCTCCTTTGAATGTGGTTCGGAGGAGATTCTTTTAAAGCAGCGCGGCGGTGCAATGACAGTGGAGCCGCCCCGAAAGGACGATAAACATATGCGGACGTGCAAAAGTATGCCAGCACTCTTGAGGTGTGAAAACGACACCAAATGCAGACAGCTTTTTTTGAAGAAGGAGTCAAAAGGCTGGGACACCGGTGGGAAAGACAAATGCCGATTCGGGCAGTTTAAAAGAAGAGGAGAAGAAGAGATTGGATTTATACCCCACCCTTATAGTCTCAGAGCGGGTATAAATGAGGTGAAATAATAATCGTACCGGCTGTCAGTCTTGGGGTGCCTTACCTTCACGAAGATTTCCACCTCCGCAGGGCTGAGGGAAGTGAAGTTCTGCAGGAAATCCTCCTTCATCCTCACCACGGCGGCTTGCTGCCTCCTCTCTTCATCCCCTTCCAGGATTTGAAAGATACCAGCGCCCACCAGGAGGTAAGTGAGATAGCCGACGATTAGCAGGCAGATCTGCAGCTTGCTGTGGATCATGATGGTCTGCATGGGAACGGGAGCAAAAAGAAGAAGCGGGTACGAATTCAGGTCGGTAAACAAGCCCTTATTTGTATTTCCCCTGGATGTCAAACACTAGAGAGGGAAGTCCTAGTTGGACGGCTTCCATTTCCTCTGGGAACTGAATCCCGACACATCCGCCCCCTCTTCCAATGTACTTGTAAGGGAGAATAAATCATAAAGCAGCGCAGGGATTTCCCACTTAACAAGAACAGACCTTCTCAGGAAAGTTGGTCAGAGTGTCAGAGACACCAGGCCAAAACACCTTTTTTTGTTGTTGTTGGTACGGATCTTCTTACGTTCTTAACAGTGCCGCGTTCCCTACCCTGCCATTTCTTACTGGTCTGACTCAAAGGTTAGTTGAGTAATCCACCCTGTAGGTGTGCCTGCACCTGCATTCTACCTGCATATCTATACAACTGGGGCCCTGCGAGAAACTTGCAGGGAGTAGCCATTCCCCCACCTATCTAATTCTCAACAGTCCCCTGTGTGCAGATATCTAAATCCGCAGATGGGGGCATACATACCCCAAACAAGTTTTTCTGCAAACTTGGGTGACTTAAAAAAATATACATTGGGGGCTTTAAATTCTTCTCAAAATAAAAACCATTGTCTCTCCAGGCTTGGAGCAGCTCTCAAGCACTGTCACCACCGCTGCCAGTCTCAGAGGTAGGGAAAAAGAGGGAAGGAGAAAGAAGGGGGGATTGGCTTGGGGGGGAGAGAGAAGGAAGGATTAGCTTTGTGGAGGGTTGGAAAGAAAAAGAAGGGGGGATTGGCTTGGGGAGAGAAAGAAAGGGGAAGATAGAGGGGGGAGAGAAGGAAGCAAAAGTGGGGGAATGCCCCCTCCGCGCAGGTTTCTTGCGAGTCCCCACTTGTTCTTGTTCTTAACTAATTTTACAGTACCTGCTTTGAGTCTCCAGGGCTTCTTCTTCCAAGGGATCCAAACCAGGTAAGCGCTAACTTCTGGAATCTCTTGCCACTAAGAGGTGTGGCCCGAGCACAGCAGTATCCTGTTGGGTAGTCTAAGTACCTCCTTCCCTTCCTCCAATAAGCCCTGGGTGCCATACACAGCTCTTCCCTGCCCCACCCCCCTTTTTATTCTACGGCCAGCAGAAAGCTTTCCTATAGAGTTGCCAACCTCCAGGGGGTGGCTGGAGATCTCCTGGGATTACAACTGATGTCCAGGCGACAGAAATCAGTTCACCTGGAGAAATGGCTACTGTGGAAGGTGGACTCTTTGGCATTATACCCCACGGATGTCCCTCCGCTCCCCAAAGCCCTCCCTCCTCAGGCCCCACTGCCAAAATCTCCAGGGATTTCCTAGCTGGGAGCTGGCTCCCCCTAAGCTGTGGAGTCTTATGAGCAAAAATCCCTACTTTGTGAGCTACCGGCGTGAAAGTGGTGAGCGAGCAATTTGGCTACTGCATCAGTTAGTTTGCTCTGGAGCCCTCCTTCCTGAGCCGAGACAAAAATGTGTGCGAGCCAGAGGCTAAAAAACTGTGAGCTGGCTCACACTAACTCGGCTTAGAGGGAACACTCCTGGCAACCCTAGTTCCTTACCACTGGACCCGATTCAACAAGGCATGGACCTACTAATGTACAACAGGCAAACGGTCAAATAGTAAGCGAGTGGAACAGGTGCAGGAAATCAGACCCTCGTGCTGGGCTTTTGCAGGCCGAGAGGGTCAATTGCGCCAGAACATTCGCCTGGTTTCAGTTCTCGGTTCAACCACCCGATTGAGGGGTTGCCAGTCTCTAGGTGGAGCCTGAGTTCTCCTGGGACTACAACTGATGTCCAGAAGACAGAGATCAGCTCCCCTGTGGAAAATGGCCGGTGGACTCTACCGCATCATACCCCTGCTGCGCTCCTAGATTCATACCCCGCCCTTCACTACCCAAAGGAGTCTGGGAGCAGCTTACAAACTCCTTTCCCTTCCCCTCCCCACAACAGGCACCCTGTGAGGGAGGCGGGGCTGAGAGAGCTCTTTCAAGGACTGCCCTTGAGAGAACAGCTCTGAGAGAACTTGTGACTGACCCAAGGTCACGCCAGCAGCTGCAGGTGGAGGAGTGGGGACTCAAAGCCGGTTCTCCCAGATTAGAGTCCACGCTCCTAACCACTACACCACACTGGCTCTCATCTCACGACCTATTTTCCTACCTCCCTGGGGACGAACTCCTCTTCCTCTGTAAGAACGGGAAAGGGAACGCAGCCCTTGAACGCTTCTCGCCTGGTGCTCTGCGGTCCCATCCTCGGTCGCTCCACTTCTACATCCAGTGTTGCCCGGAAGCTTCTGAATCGCCCGCTCAGCGTCCATTTCCTGTCAGCAGACTTGGCACCTCCTTTTGGGAGGGACAGCTCTGTGAGGTCATGGGTACATAACCTTGTTTTGCGGGTGTGCCCCCGGCCTCTGTGAGGTCACCCCACTGCACCAGCTAGGTTGCTTACAGGCCTCTGGACCTGAGAAGCTGGTGGTCCCTTGAGAAAGTAGGAGGACACCGGATTAAAAAATCATGGCTTAAAGGGAGCAGACGTTTGGGGATATTTGGATAATATAACAGCGTTTTGCCCAGTCACAGAAGCGTGATGCTGAGTGCAGTAAATAAATCTCCCGAGAAGTGTATTGCAAAAAAGGGTAAAATTACATTTCTTCAAGCAGATCCAGTTCACATTCAGGTTGCAGTTGAAAGATGCCTAAATCTCAAGAGTCCTTTCCCTATCACAAATGGCCAGCTTGTCCGGCATTACGTGCGTGGAAGTATGAGGGCATTGCCTCTACGGGAGAGACCTGCAGAGACATGTGTCTCCATGGAAGGCCATGTGAAGAGAAGGAGTGAGAAAGAGGACTAAGGTAGAAGTGAGGGAGTGAGAAAGAGGACAAAGAGAGAGGAGGGGTTGGAGGCATGATCCAATGTTCCCTCTAAGCTGTGGAGTCTTGTGAGCAAAAATCCTACTTTGTGAGCTACTGGCATTAAAGTTGTGAGGGAGCGATTTGGCTACTAGATACATTAGTTTGCTCTGGAGCCATCCCCCCTGAGCTAAGACAAAAATGTGTGAGCTGGAGGCTAAAAAGCTGTGAGCTAGCTCACACTAACTCAGTTTAGAGGGGACACTGGAGGCATCCTATTCAAGGAGATGTTTCTATGTTATCTTAGTGCATTTTTAATGTTTACTCTTTCTCCCTATTGTATTGTGTTGTTTTCTACTTGTTGTAAACGACCCAGAGAGCTTTGGCTATGAAGGGTGGTATAGAAATGTATTAATTAACTTGTTGTAAACGACCCAGAGAGCTTTGGCTATGAAGGGTGGTATAGAAATGGATTAATTAATTAATAATAATAATAATAATAATAATAATATTAATAATAATAATAATAATAATAATAATAATAATAATACCTATACACACTTAGAGTGATGTAGCACACACCCCCTCCAATGTCCAGGCATGCGGAATTGCTCACTCCAACACAGACATAGGTCTGTTCTAGGTTTGTCACTCCCCAAGTAACACCTGGAGATTTCCCGCTATTATACCTGATCTCCAGAAGAACCAGATCCGTTCCCCTGGAGAAAACAGCTCCATGAGTGTGGAGATGTTTTCTAATTGCTTTGCATTCCTTTCCATGTGCTTAATTGCTTCTGAGCTGTAACGCTTATCTTTTATGTTGTACTGGTGGAGAATGTGGTGTCTATCGTCCATGGGAGCTTCTCCGTTCCCAGCTTCGCGACCGTTAGAGAGTCCAACAGTATCCTGCGCGGGGGAGCACGTCCAATTGGGTATTGCTAGGGGGGGTGCATACGAATGTCCTATATCCTATTATGTGCACAGGTATCCCGCCATTCCTAACAGTGTTCATGTTATTGCATCTATGGCTTTTCAATAAAAGTAAAACCTTCCTGGAAGAGTGTACTTCGTTTTTTAGCTGTGGGTCCTGACATTCTGGAGGATGGGCTTATGGTATTATACCCGGCGAAGGTCCCTCCTCTCCCCAAACCCCGTCATCCCCACAGGGTTGCCAGGTCCTACCTTCCCAGGATTTTGCGTGTGCAATGTGATGGTGTCACATGGAACTGACGTCATCATGTCACCAACATCACAGGGTGACACTCTAGTTTTTTGGGCAGGACTCTATGGTTTTTTCGCCTTCAAAACCATAGTTTGCCCAAAAACTAGAGTGTCACCCCACCGACATCAGCAACATGATGATGTCACTTCCGGGTGATCTCCTCGTGTCCCTCCCCCGGCACCTGCGGGCCAGGAACCCTACATGCCCAAGTTCCATTCCCCAAATCTCCAGGTATTTCCCAGCCCAGAGCTGACAACCCTGGTCAGCGCCTAAATGAGAGACCATCTAGGGACCCCTGAGGTAAGAAAGGTAAAGGTAAAGGTTTCCCTTGCTCGAAAGCCAGTCGAGTCCAACTCTAGGGTTGCGGTGCTCATCTCCGTTTCAAAGCCTAGAGCCAGCGCTGTCCGAAGACGTTTTCTGTGGTCATGTGGCTGGCATGACTAAACACCAAGGCACACAGAACGCTGTTACCTTCCCACCGAAGTGGTGCCTATTTATCTACTTGCAATTTCTTGCTTTCGAACTGCTAGGTTGGCAGGAGCTGGAACTAGAGACGGGAGCTCACTCCATCATGCGGCACACTCGGGTCTCGAACTGCTGAACTACCGACCTTCCACAGCCTGCAGTTCAGCGTCTTAACCACTTGAGCCACCGCAGCTCCTGAGGTAAGAAAAGCAGGAGGTCAATATAAGAAATAAACAGTGTCTGCTAGGATTTTACTCGGGATTAGCCAGGAACACTTGCATTTTAGGGTTGTCAGCCTCCAAGTGGGGCTTGGAATT